TTTACATATGGTGTGAGGTAGGGGCCTCCCTTCATTCTTTTGCATGTGGATATCCAGTTGTCCTAGTACCGTTTGTTAAAAGGAGTTTTCTTTCTCCATTTCATTGTCTTAGCACTCCCGTGCCCCCTTTTCATCCCTCCCTACCACTTGTGTTGTTTTCCTTGCCCCTGCCCCCAGTCAATCACTGATGTGCTTTCTGCCACTGTATATTAGTTTGCCTCTTCTGGACAGAATGTACTGTTTTTGCTGTTTGGTATTTTTCACTCCGCATTCTCCCATGTTACTGCATGTATCAACAGCTCATTCTTTTATTCCATTTTCTATCCCATTGTATGGCTATACCACATCTTTTTTTTTTTTTATTAAAAATATATCTTTACTGATTTCAGAGAGAGGAAAGGAGAGGGAGAGAGAGAGATAGAAACATCAATCATGAGAGAGTCATTGATTGGCTGCCTCCTGCAGGCCCCCGACTGGGGATCGAGCCCTCAACCCAGCATATGCACTGACTGGGAATCGAACCCCAACCGCCTGGATCCTAGGTCGACGCTCAACCACTGAGCCACACCTGGCAGGGCTATACCACGTCTTTAAAAAGTTCCTGTGAGCATTTGTGTATGTATCTGTGTATGGACATATCCTTTTTTATTCTTGAGTAAATACCTAGGAGGGAAATGGCTGGCTCAAAAGAGAGGTATATAGCTAACTTTTTAAGAAAATGTCAAATGGTTTCCAAATTGATGGTACCATTTTTCAGTCCCATCAACAATGCCTGCAGGGGTGGGGAACCTTTTTTCTGCCAAGGGCTATTTGGATATTTATAACATCATTTACAGGCCATACAAAACTATCAACTTAAAAATTAGCTATGAAAAAGGCTCTTAGATTTATTGAATTTCGAGTCCCATCTGCAGTTGCCTTGGCTGGGCCAGACCAAATGATTTTGAGGGCTGCGGGCCGGATGTTCCCCTCTCCTGCTTTAAATGATGACATGGCTAACTTAGGCCCTGATTAGAGCTTATAAAGCTGAGGAGGAAAGTGAATGAACCTCTGGATTTGGGATCCATCAAACCTTGGAGTCTAGAACAGCAAGCTGAAGTTCTATAGAAAAAGTACAAAGCTCTTAGGATTTGGGGCCAGACTGCTGCACAGGATGTGGGAAGCATGGCCTTATATTATAGCACATAGAAAACACACAAAGGTTTTAGTTGATGGCAAACTCAGGTTGGATCACTGGAGCTTCTCAAAGTGTTCATGCAGCCCGTAGCTGCATCAGTAAATGGCACCGGCACTGTCAGGATGATCTTGTAAAGGGCACCGGCACTGTTGGTGATGATCTTGATCTCCCCTGTGAAGGTCAGGGTACACCTGCCTGTTCACTCTTTACTGGGGGTATAGGGAAATTAGGACGTATCTGCAGAAAACTGAACAGAATGGTGGAGTAGAAAACCATGTCCTACATGAAGCTACTTGAGATGTCCATGTTTGTTTATTTACCCATTCATTCAACAGGTCATTTCCATTTTCTTATGTGCAAGGCAGGGTCCTAAGGGACAGGGCATAATGACTCCAACATGATGTGGATTCTAGCGATAGCCTCCATAGTGGTAGGGAGTTGCCCAGTTATTTGAAAGAGGTCTGGGAAGGACTCCCTGTAAAGGTGAGTTTGAGTCGAGTCTCTTGATGGACAAATAGGAGTTTGACAGGTAAAAAGAGAGGAAAGGATTTTCCGTCCAGAAAGATTACATGTCCCAAATCACTAGGCAGTACGCCTTACGGGTAATGTATCTTTTTCACAATTTTGAGTATATTCCCCAGGATGCTACCTTACCCATAACCTGTATTGTTGATCTCTCAGATTAAATAAAATAACATGCCTCCTTGAAGTGGCTACAGGTTATTAAAAGAGGCTGCGATACAGGCTGTATATGTTTGGATGATGGGGACACTGCAGGGCTGTATGCCGTGCTAAGGCGTTTGGAAGGGAGATCTTGCCTCTTCTCTGTAGATCCAGGATTCCTAATTGGACCTACTTTGATTTTGTGCCCAAACCTGAACCAGTTCCTGAGGGTAGGGAGTTACTCAGATGCCACATATAGGGCATGTGTCAGCTCCAGGCCAGTCATCACGTTTGGAGGAATCCAGTGCTCTGATTGGCAAGGCCCGGGTCACGTGTCCACTCGAGTGAGTGGTGGAATCCCAGCTGAACCACTTGGGCTCCATGTGAGGGAGTGCTAGTTCTCAAAGCTGAAGTGCCGTTCCGTAGGAACTATCCACTACAGCCGTAGGGAATGGAACTAGGGTTGATGAGTGGAAACTATTGGTGGCTGCATTTCTGCTCTAAGAGAGAGATCTTTCTATGGCTTATAGAAACAAAGGAGGCCAGTTGTGGGGTAGTGAGTTGGCTGTCACTGGGGGTATCCAAGCAGCCACTATGAATAGATGCCAACAGGCCATCAGCACTGTGTAGATGAAACAGATAACCTCTAAGGCCATATTTTTCAAACTTTCTCTGTGACAGCAGTGAATACATTTTTACATTAAAACCCAGTATACCCTTCTACTTGCATACAAAACTGCAAAAGGAGATTTGACATAGTACTTTATATTTCTTTTACTACTTGACAGGTTCATATTTTCTGTTCCATTTTATTCTACTTACAAATTCCTGTTGGGTGCAACCCAGTCTATTGCTTTCATGTCCCACTGATGAGTCTCAACCTGCTGTTTGTAGAACCCTGTTCTAAGGTCAGAGATCTCAAATGGACTAGGCTTGAAGATGGCATTCGAGTTTGGCCCTCCTCCACAATGGTGGCAGGAGTCAAAAACATGGAAGCAAAAAAATCCAAACCAGCAACAACAAAAAGAAAAATGCGGAAGCAAACCTGTTCTGCTTGTGGAAGGTCCTGGTTCTAAGTGGTGGAATGCCCTGCTGTCTGTGAGCACAGCCCCTGACTGTCGGGCAGAGTGACCTTCTTTGCCGGCCCTGACAGCAGTGTTAGAGTTTATCGGCTGGCTATGGGCTGGGGGATTGCAGAGACTGGGCTCCCGGCAGTCTGTCTGTCTATCTGGGGGTGACAGAGGCTCCTTCTGGGCCAGCAGAAGTTTATGTTGTGAGGTTGAATGTATGTGGCTCTGCCAGGCCTTTAATATTGAAGATGAGGGAGTGGCTTTTAAAAATAACATATTTTTTACTTGAAACAAGTTAAGGCAGAGAGTGAGACAATTAGAGACTGACATCCTGTTTAGTCATCTCTCCAGAGAGCTCTATTTTCAGCCTGCTTTATAAAGGTTCACATGTGGTATTAAGACAGTTAAGAGGGTAGAGTTAAGTTAGCAGTAGTTGTAATGCAATTAGCTGTTTTGAACACGGGGGTGGTTTACAGGGTGACAATCATATCGATGGCAGATTTTATGCAGCGAAAGGGTTTGTAAGAATAGGCTGCTGTTAGGTAAAGTTTTCTGAGTCAGTACAAAATAGACTTTTATGTTGTAAAGTATGTGATCAGGATGTGGTGTTATAAAGTATGTGGTGGTGAGCTAGGGTAAGGTCAATGCATTTTTCCCCCCCAGTCTTTGTTACTTGTAGGTACAGTGAATAGTACTGCTAATGCTCTCTGAGATCATTTGATGGCAGTTATGTCAGAAATGCTGAACAATGACACCATGGGCTTTCAGATGACAGTGGTGAAACTTTGGGATGGTGAAGAACCTTGCCCAGAGCCAGCTGTGGCAGTCCAACTAGAGTCTGTGTCCTGGTCTAGTTCAGGGCTCTTTCTACCATACCACATGATTAGCCGCTTATTTAAATTTCATATTCTATCAGAAATGGCCATTCATATCTATACTCAACTTCTCTGGACCCCTCTCTCTCTTAGATGAAAGGCCAACAGCAGAAATGGGCTGAACCTGACAAGATTTCATTTAAGGACAATTGTAAATTCATGTATTTGGGTCCAAAATGATCTTACAATCTGAGGCTTAGAGATGTTCATGGGTAGTTCAAGGTTAGCACCATCATGAAGAGGGCAGAGCCTGCCTATCTGGGCTAGTGTAATCAGAGCGGATATGGGGGGTGCTGCCCCATCCTCGGGCCATCCTGTGTGAAGGTCTTTGAGGAGCTGGAGCGAGTTCAGAGGATGGGACCTACTGAGACGACTTGAAGCTGCCTCATTTGCAGAATATGCGTCTTGATATCTCAGTTCATACATAAGAATTTTAAGGCACATTGATACTCCTGGGCTGCTTTCCCTGGTGCTTCCTGGAGATTACCTGCACTCAGGTGGAAATGGTGTAGACGGAGATAGAGCACTCCCCTCCTTATGCGTTTTACTTCCTATAAACTAAAAGTTTGCAGTTGACCATGTCACCTTTGTTCATTACCTTATATGTTGCCATTGTTTCCCTAGTCCATATACTTTTGGTTTAATAAAATGCTGCTCTTTCAAATGGCATGAAGACGGATATCTCAAAACAATAACCAAGTTTATGGGTTCTTTTTTTTTTTAATCCTCAACTGGAAATATGTATTTTTTATTGACGTTAGAGAGAGGAAGGGAAACATTGATATGAGAGAGAAACATCGATTGGTTGCCTCCTGTATGCTCTCCAATGGGGGATCGAACCCATAACCTAGGTACATGCCCTGATCAGGAATCGAACCTACAACTTTTTGGTGCATGGGATGAGTCTCCAACCAACTGAGCCACCCAGCCAGGGTTCAGGGAGCTTCTTGATATCATGAGAGCCAACACGAGAGATGATAAAATTCAAGAGGGGAGAAACATTGAAGGAACTGTTACTACTTTTAGATTTACTTTTCAGCCAGTACGGTTTCTTGTGTTTTCAGTTGATTCTTGCCCCTCTACTGTTTGATGAAAGATTTAGGTCTGATTTATGGCTGTGATTTGCACATTTAGACCTCTCTGTGACAATATTTGAAGCTCACAAAAAGTATTCTAAAATTAGAATATAACATACAATTTTTTCTCTCTTTCTAGGTGGATCTGGAGCCGGAAGGGAAAGTGTTTGTAGTAATAACCCTTACAGGGAGTTTCACTGAAGGTAAGAATGAATTTTGAATGGTCTCTGGTATACGTGTATCTTGGGCCATACTCAGTAGGAATTTCTATCATGGATATTATAAAAGAGCATTTTATAAAAGATGTTTTTTAAAACTTTCCCTGTTTTAATTTAGGGCAGCAGGTGTTTCGTTGTCTAACGGTGTATTGGTTTAGGTTGCCAGATTAACTATTTTTGCTAAATCTGTCAATCACCTGTTTTATTTAACTTGCTGAGTTTTGCTTTTATTTATTGTCACCTCAGCTGAATTGGTTCTTGCCTGTTTTAGTTCATGAATATTAAATTGTTCTTTAGAGTTTTGTTTTGGGGCCAACTCTTCAGTTTGCCCATGACTGTGTTAAAAATATAAGGATCATATTCTTTTCCTTATAATCTTATATCTCATTCTGTCTTTGAAGTGATTGTCTCTCTTCCATTGGTAGCACCCCCAGCTCTCACTCCCCAATTTTTTTAAATTGAGGCAAAATGTATAGAGAGTTGACTCTTGAACAACACGGGTGTTAGGGGTGCTGACCCCCTACCCCTACCCCTCAAAGTAAAAAATTTGTGTGTAACTTTTGTCTCTACTGTGCGGTGAAATGAACAGATCAGAAATAAAGAGTCTGAGATTTGACAAATTCTACAACTGTGTAACCAACACCCACCCCAATAAGCACATGAAGAAGTGTTTAACATCAGGGAAATGCAAAGCAAAACCGCAAGGTATCATTTTATTTTCACCAAAATGTCTGCAATTAAAGAGACTGACCGTAGGTGTTGTTGGCGAGGACATGGAGTGATTGGAACTCTCCTACGTTGCTGGTGGGAGCAGAACACCACCACTTTGGAAAAACCATTTGAGAGGGCCTTGTATAGTTAGATCTATATCTGTTACCCAGCAATTCCACTGATAGGTATTTGCTCTCGAGAGATGAAAGTGTATGTCCACAGTCATGTACAAGAATGTTTATAGAAGCATTATTCGTAATACCTCAAACCGAGGAAAACTGAAATGTCCATCCAGAGGAGAATAGGTAAACACACTGTTTGACATTTATAAGGGAAGGCGTACGCAGCACTCAAAGAGGACACTGAGAGAGAAGATGGTGTGCATGGATCTCAGAAAGCACGCTGCGGGGAAGAATCAGGCACACGAGGGAATATACTGTTAGTTCCATTTACATGAACCTTCAGAGCAGACAAAACTAATGTATGGTGAACAAACAAAGCAGAACATGGCATTTGTTGCCTCTGGCCGCGAGGGACTGGCTGGGAAAGGACAGGAGGGAACTTTCAGAGTGATAGGAATTTTATTTTGAAGTTGTTTGTTACCAGTATATAGAAATGAACTTTTTTTTTTTTTTGTATATTGACTTTGTATTCTGCTACTTTAATAAATTTATTCTAGTCATCTTTTTTTGTAGATGCCTTAGGACGTTCTCTGTCAATAGTCATGCTGTCTGTAAACAAAGACAGTTTTCTTTTCTAATATTTATGGTTTATATCTTTTTCCTTTCTTACTGTGCTTGGAGGCTTCCGGGACAGATCTCCTTGTCTCATAACCAATCTTGGGAGGAAGGAATTTAGTCTCTCCCCGTTAAGGATGGCCTCAGCTGCATGCATTTTGTAGATGCCCTTTATCGCACATGAAGAAGTTCCTTTCTAGCCCTAGTTTTTGGATAGTTTTGTTTGTTTGTTTGTTTTTTTAAATTAAGAGTGACTTACATTTTGACAAATGCTTTATCTATTGAGGTGATCATGTGATTTTTCTTCTTTCTTCTTTATTTTCTAGCAGACAGCTACATTACTGGCTGTTACCTTAAAATTATGAAGGCTTCTTAGGGTGAGATTTTTACTTTTTAATTTTTTTTTTCTTAGTTTTTTGGCAGATTCCATAGTCCCAGGACAGCCTTTACTCATAAGGTAGAGCCAATTTGGGGTTTCAGTGGAAAGCTGGGGTTTCAAGTGGGAAACAGCTGAACCCTCAATGTGTTTTTTTCAGGGTTTCAGCTCTTGCTTTTTCCTGGACGTCTCCGAGCTGCCCTTGCACGTGCACAGTTTAGGAAGACCACAGATACGAGGGGTTTATGGACTGGGCAATTCTTTCCTCCGTGGCCCCATCCTTTCTAGATTTCTCTGCTCGTTTTCCAGTCAGCTTGGCAGTCCTGAATCTTGTATTTCACTCTTCAAGCCAGTAACGTGGTAGCTCTGTGTTTGAGGTCTTTTCACTGTCCCTGGTTTGTTTCGCTCTGTCAGCCACCCCAGACTATCCCCAGCCCCACAGCGACAGGTTGGCTGATAGAACACTTGGTGCTCTAGTTCCCATTTGGGATACTGAAGGGCTTCACGTAAAGAGCAGGATGAGGTCAGGCCCGCCTGGTGTGTCTCCGCTACGACAGGGACATTGGCCTGGGAACCCTGGAGGGATTGTCAAAGCTCAGGAAATGTTGGTTGAGCCTCAGGGTGCATCTATCTCACAGGATTGTTTTGAAGGTTACAGCTCACAATGTGTAGGCAAATGCTTTGCAAACTGTAGAGTGCACTGTTAAGGTACACTAGTTGGATTCTTATCTGTTTCTATTGTTGTGGCCGCAAGATTCTTGTCATTCTCCCCACCCCTGCCTGGGACCTTGTGTATACTCAGCAGGTGTGTTTCATTTGGGCACTGGCTTTATTTTAAACTAGACACCACAAGAATTTAGTGGACAGTTACTAGTATAACGGCTTATCTCCATGCCTGTTTTCCTTCAATGGCCTCCTATAGGAGTTTTGCAGTTAGCTCAGATTCTACAATCCCTAAGCTCTCCTTTAAAAACGAATTTGCTTCAGTGGGGCTGTGGTCTCTGATATACACGACTGATATTAGGAGCTACTGATGCCTACTTTTGTTATCCTGTCTCATATTCTTATCTTTTTAAAGTTATGATGAAACAGCAGCAAAGGCAAAACGTTTTTCTTAAACGTAAGACATGACTGAGAAATGACATAAGAAATGCCTGCTGGCTGCAGACCTTTGAGTCATCATAGATGCCGGGGAGATGAACATGAACCAGGCAGGCTTTCTCGAAGGAGCTCGTAGGAGAGAGCGGTGCAGAGCTCATGTCCCTGTGCGGGAATAAGTCCAAGACATGGTGCTGGCCGGAGGGAATATGTAATCAGATCAACTAGAAGGTTTCAGAGAAAGCTTCACAGGGGAGGTGTAGTTTAAAGCAAGTTTGATGATAAATCGAAATGTGCCAGGAGGGGAAGATAGGTCAGGAGGGAAGGCAGTTTGTACAAAGGCACAGAGGTGAGAGAGCAGTAACAGATTCCAGAAACTGAAAGTAGTGGGGAGATGATGAAGCTGGGGGAGTGGAGAGGAGATGGGGCCAGAGACATGGGAGGGTCTTATGTGGAAGTTTGCCCAGGAGAGTCTGCCCACGGTACCAGCGTAACAATGAACGATACCACATCTCACCCTCAGTAGGGTCCCAGGTTAGATGACAGATTTAATGGTCACACTACTTTGAGGCTAATAGAGGTAATGGGGTGCCAGTGAAGGGTTTTAAGTGGAGAAAAAAAAAGATCTGATTTGGTAGCAGTGGGTTCAAGGCATTAGAGGGTATTGTTAGAACATAAGAGGAGACAAGGGTGTGGAGAGCCTTTAAGAGACTATTAAAGTTGTCTAAGGTTGAGATTAGTTGAACCTGAATTAAGTTGGAATCTGTGGGGTTGGGTGGGGAGGAGGGGACAGCTGTGTATATGTAGTGAAACCAGCAGGAATTGTCAGTTCGTTGGATGTTAGGGATAAAGAAGACGAAATCCAGATGATGTTGTGGAGTCATTTACCAGGGTAGAAACATAGGGATGGAAGATGATGACTTCCATCAGACAAGTGGAGTTCGAGGTGCTTGTGGAAACCCAAGTGGACACATCTAGGAGGATTTGGAAATAAGAGCCTTGAGTTTGGCAAGAGATCTGAGCCTAAGATAGTGCTGTAGGTGTCCGTGGGAGCCAGGTACATGGACAAAGGCATCCAGTGGAAAGATTTAGAGAAAAAACCAAGGTGACCCAAAGCAGAACTCTGTGGAGCACCAGCATTTAAGGACTCTGGGTCATGGATTATAATTTGTCAAAGTCACCCAAGCTATGTTGAAGGTTTACTTAATGAGCGCCCATTTTGTTAATATACTCATTTTTGTTCATTACTCATTCAATAATATTTGAGTGCTTACCACATGCCACGGACTATCTCGCCAGATGGTATAACATCTTCCAAATTGGCATCAAAAAGCNCTCATTTTTGTTCATTACTCATTCAATAATATTTGAGTGCTTACCACATGCCATGGACTATCTCGCCAGATGGTATAACATCTTCCAAATTGGCATCAAAAAGCTTTATAATGAAGTCTGAAGAAAGATGGAACATAAAAGGCTTTGAAAATTAACGTTCGAATTGATGTTAACTGTAGTACCTTCTGAGTTGGAGGATACTGTATGCTGTGTGCAGGTTTAGCTTTAGAAGAATGGTCACACCTGCTCAGAATCTTACAGGGAGGGCTCTTCATTGAGTTACGAGAAAACAAGCCAAAGCCTTTGTGGAAGTCCCTCACAGAGCTGAAGGCAAAACTTTGTCAACTGGGTCAGAAACCCATGGCCGTTGTTCATTTTGAGAAACGTGCTATCACTCTTGATCGGAAGCAGAATTCCCCTAAGCACGGCTGCTGAGGTAGACACTGTTGAAGTGATTTATTATTTTGAAAAAGCCGTCTCATGCCGCTGTTTCTTTCATTCTGGCTAAGCCTTTCTGGAGCTAACAACTGGGTTTGCCACCTGATGGAGCTGAAATTTATTATGGCGATGAAACAGACTTGGATTTTAAGGCAACCTCTCGACACTGCCAGAATGACAGAATCTGGCCCTGTTTATGATTGTTATTATGTTGGACTAGTTTTTACCTGGAAGAGGAAAGTGGGGGGGGAAAGCCTGAAATAAACTAAACTGATGAAAATGCATCGAAC